TTTTAATACATAAAATAAAGCTTTTTGCAGGAGCATCACATATAAATTTTGAAAACATAAATGGCACAATTCTGTTTTTAAATTCGACGCCTGATTTTTCTAGAGCCATGCCCTCTTCCACAAATTGTTTTAAAAACTCTCCAGCATTAGGTTTTTTATGGCCATGATATACCCCAATTGCCAATGGTTCAGCTGCTTCTACATTAGAGACATTTATGTATCCAAGAATAGGCCAAAACTGCGAATTGGAACTTTTTGTTAGGGGTAAACCATCAACATTTATATCGCATTTAATTATATTAACCTTCTCCATATTAAATTTATTTAAAATATAAATTATACCATTTTTAATTCCAAAGTAACAACCACCTTCAAAGGTGGTAATATTTTTTTGTTGTGTAGTTTTCATCAACGTTCTACAATCATTGGGTAGATTTCGCACTTCATTTAAATCAGTGATTTTCTTCAAAATACCTAAGAGATCTGTAACATGTGACTGAGGAGTATGAGATTTCACAACCCATTCACACAGTTTATTCCGAAAATTAAAATTAGAGTTTATAGAAGAATCATTAAATAAAATTGTCTCTTCACTATTTATGGAAATCGAATGTCTCACAGAAACGTCACTAGTAGAGCTAGAACCGAGGCTAGAACTAGAACTGTCACCATCATCGACAATTAAAGTAGGAGACGAATGACCTGAACTAGATGGTACATGAGGTATTGCTGAAGTCGAGGCTGAAGTACTTGGTAATGACGAATCAGTTGGTTTCGACCTTATTTGAGAAGTTTTCTTAATGCATCGTTTTAGGTAATTAAGAGTCATTTTTGAATATGGCTTCCTTCTTGGAATTGGAACTCTCTAAATAAAATTCAAACTAGTTAATCAGCGCCAGATTGGACTAGGAACATAGTTGTTTTGTTGGGACTGCATCGGTTAAATGTAGGCTGCAGCATTATAATTTGTATGTTGTATGCGGTATTGCCACACGATTTGGTGGTGATAGAACGTAAACATCATACAACAAAACGTGCAAGTAGAGCACTGTCCGATCAAAAATGAGTTCTGGACCACCATTTGCTATTCTTACAGGGGAACTTCTGTGCCGTGCAACGAACTCTTTTTGTTGTCTCGAATTTTTTTCATCAAATAAAAGCTGTGCTGAATCCACAACTAATTTATGATCGCATTTTCTGCATAGTTGTGTTGTATGATGTTTAAGAACAATTTATAATACGAGTTTATAACGACAAAATCAGGACATATTAAAAATTTAAAAAAATGTTTTACCCTCTTTCAACATACAAATTATAATGCCGCGCACCCTTTACAGTCGTTATTGTATTTCTAAATTTTGAGTTATAGTTAGACTCAAAATCGGGCAATGCTATTAAACAAAACTTGAGCGAGATTGTTAATGTAGTTATTTGCTTCCGAATAGTTCAATTGTTATTATTATTATATTCTACATAGGTAGTTGCATTTCCCAGTAGGTCTTTTGTGGTTCAATCTGATCATAAACTTAATTACCTACTGCAATCTAAAACAGATTATGTATCACAAGAATTTCTAACCTATAAAAAATTATTCCAGAATTTGATAAAAATCTACATCTAGGTATCTAATTTTGTAGGCAGTACCTTGTGCAGTTGTACTGTACATTTCATTTGTACGCATAAACGCAAATTTTTGTAGAGTAGAACATTTTAATATTACTTAAAACTTACCTCATCCGCCATTATTGCTTTTGCAGCTCAAATATTTAGTACACAAATGTACACTACACTACACACTAATCAATGTGGTTTTATCCGTTTTATTTATCGTTTGTTATTGAATAAAGATGTAAGGATATCCAGAAAACAGAATTTCACGCAAAATGCAGAGCACAGACCATCCAATCCCACATAGCACACCAACATATCTATAACATATAATAAAGATTTTGTTCAAATCTATGAAATATTGGTAGAATATTTAACATTTGCCTCGAAACCTTTTCAAAACATTTAGGAAACATCTAGATGTCCCACTTCTAATATTTTCTACACATTTACTAAAATATTTTTTAAATATTTGTAAAACATGTATAAATGCTATCATAATATTGGCATACTTTCTGATAATGTTGTTATAATGTTTGTAATACATTTATATCATATTGTTCCAAATATTTCTTAATATTCCATAAACATTTAAACCTGCATTTTGATTTTGATGACCTACTTACATATTATTAGAGCTTTCAGTACAATTTGTACCTTTGTAAATATTAACAAATTTCTTATTTACAAAGGTACAAATTTAACCAAAGGCTGAAACAAAATTTAAATAGCTTACTATAATTTAAAAAGGGTGCACCTGTGGTTTTCTACGAGTACATACATTACTCAAAAGATTTCAATAAAATGGATTTTATTTTGTAAGTATTTAAAACAAAAATAAAGTATAAAATTATTTTTGTTTCCTAAATTTTGCTTGTACCAGCCACTGCCTGATTTCTGGTAGTATGTCGCTTTCTGTTGCGTCATGCGTTTTTTGATTCTTCCGAATTGATGCTGTAAAACATAGGTAAAGAGAAATATGAGTTAAAAATGCATTGCTATAACTTACCTAATAACAAATGATACAGTTTCAAAGATTTAAATTTTAATTTTCCTTTTGCTCCGTCAAAACTATACAGTTTTGCCACATCATTTGTTAACATTAAATATAATATTCTTCGTGTTATATCTTTTGCCGTTTCTCCTCCTACCAATGAAAACTTCAGAGCCTTAAAAATAATTATTATCCATTATATCTGAAAATTACAAAAATAAAATTTATAATCATGGAAACATACGCACTGGAATGATGTGAAGTTTCACTAGTTTCACTCTGTGCTGTATAGGGTTCTAATACATTATCACTTTCTGTATAGAAATCCTCTGGGACATTCTCTGTTACTTTATTGTTATCTAAAATGTGAAACAATGAAATACAAACTCGGAAGTTTAAAGCACAATATTACCTGCTGTATTTTGTTTGCACTCTTTCGGATCTAAAAATCAATCAAGTTAATAATTTTTAGATAGGGGAATGTGTATACATACTAGATCCTTTAAATGTTGGAAATGTTATATTAGTATTTAATTCTTCGTCATCTGTATTAATGTTCATAAACTCACTAAATTTTGTATTAGGTTTACGTATTCTCTGTCCTTTTCCATCCATGCCATCAAGCATTGTCTTTGTTTTTTGGCTGAAAATTTTCTTCCCATTTCTAGCTGCTTCACATTGTGTTTGGGCATATGTAAAATCATCTAAAAATTAAATGTAGATTAACAAAATTTTGTGATTGGGAACCAAAACTAATACAAACCATATTTTGCTAACATATTGACATCATACACCTTCCAATCCTCTTTTGGAGAAGTGCCACTTTTAATAATTTCATAAAGTCTAAAACCTTTGACAGGTGGAAAATGGCATATGGTGTTGTCATCATCGAACACCCAATGTTCCGGTACTACTTCAATTGTTTTGTCAAAATGGAAAAACACTACACACCACTGCATGTTGCCAACCAGAAGTTAATACTATAATATACATAATAAATAATACTAAATGTAGCAAAAAGATGTAAGTATTAATAAAACTGACAAGTTAGTAATTTTCCTTGTGAATTTTTACATCCAATATCTTACAAATGTAACAAAGCAGTTGCAATATATTCATTATCATTATATGGTAATATCATTACCTTACAACGGATATCACTGATATTATACATTTTTAGATTACTAAAATGGTTTATATTGATACACCACACACCCACTAATTCCGATGAACAAGGTCTATTAAACCAAGGTCGAATTTTTGTGAAAGATTGGCCAATGGCACAAATGGCATTTCCAAGAGTAACAAAATTACAAATTTTAATTAAATTTTTATCATTTAACAAAGCATAACAATCCCTTAAATTTAATTTAAACGTGTAACCTTTAAGTTTTGCAATCATAAATTGTGGTGAGCAACAATGTCTTAACAGAGGACCCTTTGAATGCTCATTTAAAAACTGGGGATACTCCATAAAAAATTGAGGATAGATCATCTTGCAAGATATTCGTTCAGACACACGCTTAACTATTTGCTGAATAGGTTTATCTTGTTTCCTTACTAACTTTTTAAGTATCTGCATATAATTTTCGAAATCAAAAGCTGAAAAATTATGTACAGGCCCAAATCTTTCAGCATCATCTACTAAATGAAGAAGATTATGAACATTAAATGATATAAAATCAGGGCCATATATTCTTCCGCTGTCCTTAACAAAGGCATCCAAAAGAGCTTTTGCATATACCAACATATCTGTAGATGTACCATAATCCTCACTATTCAATATTCGCATTGCAATATACAGATTTAAAAAATTATAATAATAATCAGGTTTGAGAAATTTCTTAAATACAACAGGTCCTGTATATAATAATAACAATCTAAACTCTACAGCTTTAAAACGTGCACAATGTTGTAAAGATCTAGCTTTTCTATTAGAAAATTCACATACAATAAAATTATTACAATCTTTAAGATTTTTCGATATTTCACCTTGCTGAGTTGCAGAAAGTTTGTGTAAAAAAGTTCCTTGAATCCAACCAAAATTTTTATGACATAGTAACCTCTTCATTACACCTAAACATACTAAGTGCATGTAGTCAAGAGGCACATCTTTGATTAAGTCAAATTTTGGTAAACTTGTGAACAAAGTCGTACCCTGATGATGATTATATTGAGAGCAATTCCTAAATTCATAATCACTCCGTAAATTCCGCTTAGCTGTCCATGGAAAACACATTACATTGTTAATTCTTTCAGCAGTTTGATAGCATTTGGTGCAGCCAGTTTCTGCAGTATGTCCTTTGACATTCAAAACATATGATTTAGCAGGGGCATCACAAACCAGCATTTTGATTCGAAAAGGATAATTGTTCCCAGAAAGAAAAATACCTTTATTTTATAAATTCACTGCTTCATCAATAAAGTCTTTCAAGAACTCGTTGGCTGAAGAAGGTTTTGAATATCCATGAAAAACAGCCACCATTACAACATAATTTTTAATATGTAATAAGGAATCTATTTTAATTAATATTGGCCATAATGAACTGTTTGAACTAGATGTTAATGGTAATCCATCAATGTTAACTATTATTTCAATTAGCGGTGTGTTAACTGGTATAGTATATTTTAATTGCAATAACAAATTATTTAAAGTGTCCGAGATGCCAAAATAATAGAAACTTCCATTATCTAATGTCTTCACCAATACTTTTCTTGGTGTGTTCAATAGGGTGCGGGGATCTCTTGGTAGATTTTTAAATGCATTTATATCATTTTCTGATTTAAGAATTTCTAGGAGTTTTCTAAATGTAGAATGAGGTACATTTTCTTCTGTGCTCCACACCCTCAATTTTTCATCTAAAGTTTGCATTTCATTTATTGAATCATTCACCGAAAACTCAGTCTCATTTACTTCCATAATATCCTCAAATGCATTATCATCGAGAGAAGATTCTAGAATATTAAATAATAAATCTGTGATACTACTGAATCTGACTAACTACACTAGTTACTTGGCATGTGTAATCTAAGATATAAAACAACTTACCATCGAAACTATCGATATTACTGACTAATTCATTACGGCCTGCATCTTCGGTAGGAACTTCGATACAAACGATATCATCGTCATGATGTGGGGTTGAAATCTTCAATGGTTTATTCTTATGGGGCTCAGTAGCAACACAAATATTGTTACGACTAGCTGCGGATTGTTTGATTTCAAGCATTGCTGCATTTACCTGTTTATGCAAGATTCGGTTTGTTTGCCTTTTTGATCGATTTGCTCTCGGATTTGGCATCCTGAAGACTATTTACGACAAAATCAGTTTCATTCCTATCCGCTGATATAGGTAAATAGCTAAGATTTTTACGAATTCGATGTCCGTATCGTAAGATTAATGACATTTTGTGGGTTGTAGAAAAACACAAGGAAAACAAACTATTTTGGTTATGTTGATGGTTATTGTAAGCAATTTAATGAATAACCTTTATACAAAGAAGAGTAAATAAACCGATACAACGAAATATCGAAGGATCCTCAGTATTACAATCACTTTTAACGACAATTTATTTTAATCTTACAAAATACATTTTATAGTTAACAAAAATGCATCAAATTCATGTCTTGGGCTTTGAGATAATGCTCTTGGTTTTTTTCCCAACGATCTTGGTGCATAAATAACGATTTTGACATGTTTTGATCAAAATCCACGTTTTCGCCAAAAATTCATCAAATTCATGTCTTGGGCATTGAGATAATGCGCCTAGTCTTTTTCCCAATGATCTTGGTGCATAAATAACGATTTTGACATGTTTTGATCAAAATCCACGTGGTCGCCAAAAATGCATCAAATTCATGTCTTGGGCATTGAGATAATGCGCTTAGTCTTTTTCCCAACGCTCTTGGTGCATAAATAACGATTTTGACATGTTTTGATCAAAATCCACGTGGTCGCCAAAAATGCATCAAATTCATGTCTTGGGCATTGAGATAATGCGCCTAGTCTTTTCCCAACGATCTTGGTGCATAAATAACGATTTTGACATGTTTTGATCAAAATCCATGTGGTCCATAAAAATAGATCAAATTCATGTTTAGATCATTGAGATAATGCTCTTGATCTTTTTCCCAACGATCTTGGTGCAAAAATAACGATTTTGACATGTTTTGATCAAAATCCACGTTTTCGCCAAAAATTCATCAAATTCATGTCTTGGGCATTGAGATAATGCGCCTATCCCAATGATCTTGGTGCATAAATAACGATTTTGACATGTTTTGATCAAAATCCACGTGGTCGCCAAAAATGCATCAAATTCATGTCTTGGGCATTGAGATAATGCGCCTAGTCTTTTTCCCAACGATCTTGGTGCATAAATAACGATTTTGACATGTTTTGATCAAAATCCACGTGGTCGCCAAAAATGCATCAAATTCATGTCTTGGGCATTGAGATAATGCGCGTAGTCTTTTTCCCAACGATCTTGGTGCATAATTAACGATTTTGACATATTTTGATCAAAATCCATGTGGCTTCAGAAAAATAATTTAACATTTTTGAATCACACACATGCGGTTATCAAACGTGCACGTTATCAACTCTTTCAGCATCAAGATAATGCGTTTGAAAGCTTTTACAACTCTAAATTCATGTGTAAAGAATAATTTTGGGTACATTTTGCTCTAAAACTTTTGACCGAGACCACAGAGAAGAGTTATATTGAATTGTTACACATCTAAGAGTCATAGGGAATAATCTAGCGAAAGTCCGAACTCGATACATGACCTAGGGAATGAAATATGTTAATTTTTATTATATTGAGTTCGCAGTTTTTCCTGTTCCCGATTCACTCGAAGTCGTATAACTTTTGTTCCTGTTGAACCAGCTTCCTGAAAATCAATAGCGTCCGTTCTTAATGTCCAACGTATCCGTATACCAAATTTCAACACAATCGGCCACTTTTAAAAAGAGTTAGAGCGCACACGGACGGACGGACGGACGACAATACAAAACTATAAAGGATCTGAGGATCCTTAATAATAGTGAATCTTAAGACATACCTTGCGATTTATAATTCTTGGGTACTTAACGACACGATTAATTTAAAAAAATGCACCTACGTAAACACCAAAACACGTAAACTTAATGGCGGCCACAGACCATCAACGGATGGCGACCATCGAGTGCAAACGCAAACTACATTCGCTCTGCGCAGCCGTGAAAAATTCCCCGCCATAGTTTTGTATATATATTTTTCAAACATTAGTATGCTATTTGTTAATATTTATACATATTAATAATATATTAAATTAGTAATGTTTATACAATATTGTTGGGGAAATATTTAATATATATTTACATACATTTTATAAATATTTACAGAAAATTTTGTTGGAATCATTACTAGTACAATATTTACGTAATATTGTAATAACGTTTAATTATTAAATATTGGTTCATAAATGGCATAGTAACATTTTGACGATATTTTGTGCTATGTGGGATGCAGAACATTCAGGAAGTTCAACGACCGTCCACCATTTCACAAATCACACCACTAACCACGCCGCATGCGCGTGGTGCTTACTAGTAGCACATTAGCACAATATTGCACATGCAATCTAAACATAACTTTCCGTTAAAGATATTAGGGAGTTTTCGTGGCTTTTACGCTAAACTTACGGTAACGTTAAATATCACGTGACCAAATACGGTATTGAAAATAACGGCCGTCTTGAAAAGAGAGTTATCGTGATCTGCGCCTCCCTTAAACGATAAAACTGTCAGCGCCATCTTCACATTTAACAGGTAAACATGGAAACATAACCTTAAACGAGTGTAAACAAAAGCAATATTTTGAAAACGTTTCACTTTGAAGTATGGAAGAACTACTGGAAATTGCAGTGTTAGGTGACATGGATGTAAACGATATAGCAGATGCTCTACTGATTGGAGAATTAGAAACTCCTCGACGTAATAAAAGAATTCGAGCTGAACAATACGGACGGTTGAACTTGGACGAGTTAACTCCAGAAGAAATTCAATTGTACTTTCGGTTTAATCGGAGACAATTATTGGAGCTAACTGAGGCATTAAGAATTCCTAACGAAATAAGAACTGATACTGGGCATGTCACTACCAGTAAGCCTTCTGCTGCAGTTTTTAGTATTGTTATTAATTTTTTTTTAATTATTAGGTTTGGAAGGATTGTGCATATGTCTACGACGATTAGCCAGTGCCGTATTTCCCATTACGCAAATTACGCCCAGGCGTAAGGCGGCAATATTGGAGAGGCGGCAAAATTTCAATTTTCAAATCAAAATTAGGCGTCTTCCTTCACCGACTTCTCACCACCTATGTCACCACTCAACTCACGGTGAGTGACTCACCTCACCGTCATGTTCCCCTTCCCACACGTAAGAAGCAAGTGCAATATTTGAAGTTGTCAATATGCAGTGATCATGATCAGTGTCGTGAGTGAATTGCAGCTGAAAGCGTAGGGGTTTGTATGTAGTGAATTATATTATATTGTGAACGGTGTGTATCGTAATTCGTAATTCGCATTCGTATATCTGTTTGCTTTTTACAGATTAGTGTTATTACTTTATTAGTGGTAGCACAGTCTAAATACAATTAGACTGTGATGGTAGATAGTCGTAGTAATCTGTGATCACTGATCAGTGCGTTTTACCGTTTATTTATAGTGTTGAGTTTGAGTCGAGTGTCACAAACATTTTACAGTATAACAATTAACAATACTATGAGTGACGGCCGGAAACGGTTAAGTGGAGCGCAGTACAAAGCACTCGCTGAAGAAAAACGGAGAAAGATTCAGGCCGTTTTAGACAAAACTCAAAATTTGAAAAACTATTTTTTAACTAAGCCTACAAATTCCCAAGAGCAAACAGATTGTTCAGAATCGGAAGATTTGGAGGTTGTTAGTGTTGTACCTATACCTATACCACCTGACAATGCAGTCAATGCAGAAGCGGTGGACACGGTCACAGAAGCATGTAAGTAATTAAGTATCAGTTATGTCATTATGTGTTTTTTAAACCACGCCCCCACATATTTACTCATTAGGTACTTTCGTCTTTCTGGGCACCCATTTGATAAATTTTTATTAATTTTATAGTCTTATAGAATGCCCGTTGGGATTAAATGAAAGTCAATTTTCCACACGTTTACAACTTTGTAATTATCAACAATTGGTGCTGTTGGTCCTATCAAAAAAAAATGTGCCAAATTCTTGACAGACAGGTATTGTTACAGCATCATCATCGAACGTAGAATCTGCATGTCCATCACCATGTTTGCCAGCAATTGTGAGCAACGACCCTGCCGATTGGAACATCAATGATGATACTATCAATTATTTAATGTCATTGCCCAATGAAATATGCCAAAATACAGATGAGGATTTTTCATTAACCAAAATTGTTAATGGCGGAAAGTCACGATGTCTCACTAAAAACGTTTTCCGCCGGAAACTTGCCAATGGGGAAGAACAGCCTCGTAAATATTTGATATATTCATCTTCAAAGAAATCCCTGTTTTGCATCCCATGTCGACTTTTCGGAGGAGCATCAAAAATGGCAACTGAAGGCATAAATGATTGGAGTAATGTAAATAAAATTTTGAATTTACATGAAAACTCCAAAGAACATGCCAAATCTCAAGTAACTTTATTAAGGCGTCGACAAAAACAAAACCAAATTGATTCACTGCTGTGTCAGCAAATAAGTATTGAAGAAGATTACTGGCGAAACGTGTTGAAGCGCGTAGTTGCAGTGACTAAAAAATTGGCTTCCAGGGGGCTACCGTTTAGAGGAACAGTTGAAAAATTTGGTAATACGAACAATGGCAATTTCATGATGTGTCTGGAGCTCATAGCAGAATTTGATCCGTTTCTAGCCACACATTTATCTCAGCACGGAAATCCTGGAAGTGGTAAAACGTCATACCTATCATCTACAATATGTGAAGAGTTTATTGACCTCATGTCGACTGAGGTACTAAATCATATTATGACCGAAATTAGAATGTCAAAATACTACTCAATTATAATTGACTCCACACCCGACATGGCTCACATTGATCAATTATCCGTAATAATCAGATATGTTACAAACAACGGAAAACCAGTGGAGCGTTTTATTGGCTTTTTGCCAAATGTGGGGCATAAATCTGAAGATTTAGAAAATGCTATCATGTCAAAATTGGAGAAACACAACTTGGAATTAAAACATTGTCGAGGTCAATCCTACGACAATGCGAGTAACATGTCGGGATGTTACAGTGGTCTACAAGCAAGGATTTTAAATCACAACCCACTCGCTTATTACCTACCATGCGCCGCCCATTCACTGAATTTGGTTGGAGTCTGCGCTGCTGAATGTACTAGAGAGGCTGTAAGGTTCTTTGAAACGATTCAAAACCTATATACTTTTTTCTCGGCATCTACTCGTCGTTGGGAAATTCTACTTTCCAGTTTAAAACCTGGCGCTAAAGTTCCAAAACGCGTAGATGGAACAAGGTGGTCTGCACGCCATGATGCTTTAATGAGCTTATGCGGAGGCTGGGGGGATTATTTAAATGCTTTGACAACAATTGAAGAATCTATTTCTGAAAAACCTACGGTCCGTGCGGAGGCGGCTGGGATTAAACGTTGCTTAAACCGCTTTGAATTTGCCTTCATGTCGGTTTTTTGGGAAGCGATATTAGAGCGTTTCCACAGCACTAATAAAATTCTTCAGAGCGTCGAAATCGACAATGGTGACGTAACTAGACTCTTTTCGTCTTTGATAAGTTTTGTAAAAGCTCTACGAAATACTACCATGTTTGAAACGTACCTTGATAAAGCCAAAGAAATTATGGATGAAAGCTACGACAATGATCGTCAAAGAACTCGGAGACGTAAACTTTTCCCAGATGAAAATATGGATGGCGACACAATTCTGACAGGCAAGGAACAACTAAAAGTAGAAACATATTTTTCCATACTGGATAGGGTTATGGTGGAACTGGAAAAAAGATATGAAGCATATGACAGTGTTTTCAAAAAATTTAAGTTCTTTTTTACTCTAAAAGAAAGTTCTCAAGAACAGTTGATTGAAAGTGCCAACTACCTGCAACAATGTTATAAGGACGATCTGGAAGATGTATTTGCAACAGAATGTTTGCATTTCGCGGAACTTTTAAAAGAAACAGACACGAAACACGAAAAATGTACCTTATCAAATATGCTTTCATACATTCGATCTCACAATTTAGAAGCAGTTTTCCCCAATGTTGAAATTGCCTTACGTATGTTTGTTACTATGGCGGTCACAGTTTGTTCAGCGGAGCGTTCATTTTCAACACTTAAACGTTTAAAAACATACTTAAGAACAACAATGCAACAAAACCGTTTAAATGCATTGACAATTTTGACAATAGAGTCTGATATAACAATAAAGTTAGATTTTGATAGTCTTATAAACTCATTTGCGTCTATAAAATCCCGACGAAAAATAATATAGTTGTGATAATAAATAGGTATACAAAATTTTATAATCTAGTTTTATTGCTCATACTACCTTACCTACTAAACTGAAAGCGGCACTTTTTGGTTAGCGTAGGGCGGCAAATTGGTAAATCCGGCACTGCGATTAGCTTATCCTAATAGGCTATCTGATTTAGAGCCATTGTTTGGTTTATCAAGTCCATATTTGTCAGATATAGCAAATACAGTTACTGATCATATTTTTACCAATTTTTCCCATTTACTGTCAAATTTGGATAATTTAATGTGGTTAAACTACAACAAGTTGCAACAATATAGCCAGGTAACATGGCATTATTATTCGTGTGTAGAAAAATCTATAAATTGCTTTATTTTAGGCTATTGCACGTAAAAACGCACCACTCATAAACTGTTGGGGTTTTATTGACGGCACTGCGCGTCCGGTATGTCGACCAACGCTCCAGCAACAACAATATTTTTCTGGACACAAAAGAGTTCATTGTGTTAAATATCAATCAGTGGTCAGTCCAGATGGAATAATTTGCAGTCTCATAGGTGCATATGAGGGACGTCGGCATGATGCTGGGATTTTAAGAGAGTCAAACCTGTATAACCAGTTAGAACGGCGATGTAAATTTCCAAATGGAGAAAATTTTGTTCTATATGGAGACCCTGCATATGCAATAAGAGAACTGCTAATTTCTCCATATCGAAATAGAAGACTCACTGATGAGCAACAACAGTTTAACACCCGAATGAGTTCAGTCAGACAGGCGGTAGAATGGGGATTTGGAAAGATAATAGCGGAATTTGCTTTTTTAGATTTCAAAAAAAATCAGAAGTTATTATTGCAAGACATAAAAAAAATGTATATAACTGCTACAATATTAACAAATTGTCATACCTGCCTTAACGGCAGTCAAACATCTGAATACTTCAATATTGTGCCTCCCACACTGCGTGAATATTTAGGTCAATAATTAACACATATGTATACCAAAGTGTTTATTGCAAAATATGTAAATTATAATTAATTAATGTGCGTGTGTAATCATGATTTTTTTGTGTTAGATAGTTTAATAAACCACATAGCAGTGTTGCTGTTGTTGCATTAATATCGTATGATTTTTTCTTTCTGTAATTTCGGCATCTAATTGGATTTTTCGTTCTTCTTTTTCCGCTTCAAGTTTCTGTACCTCCACAGCTAATTTCTTTTCCTCCAATGCAAGACGACGTTCTTCTAAGTTTAATTGTTTTTGTTTCAATTCATATTCCTGGTATGTTCTTTTGTTCAAAAATTCTAAACAGCCCTTGATCTTATCTTCCCTCTTTATTCTTTTGTGAGAGGGTTCTAAATGATACGGTATTGTATTAGTAATGTGACAAATATTGAATTAAATAACACCTACCCAATAGTGTTGGAGTTGAAGATCCCGATGAAACTTCTGCATTATCGTTTGACCCTGATGCAGAACTCCCAACATCCCCCACTAGAGTCTTATTGTATCTTGTCTCATTTACTAGCGTACCATCTTCTAGTAAAATGTATGTAACTGTAACAGTTTTGTCCAAATTACAATTACTGTAAATTTACTCACTGCTTTCTTGTGCTGCTTTCTCTCGCACTTCGATTCCGCATTTTTTTGATGTGGATTGATCTGCTTTGCTCTTTGATTTGACCTGCGGTTGGTTTGAAGTAGCTTTACTCGTGAATTCTCTCCTTAAATCATGTAATTCTTGTAACAACCTTTCCTTCTCTTCGTACTCCTCTTCAGTTCCTGATCTGCGACAATATAAAAAATTTAGAGAATGCTTTCAGTATGTATTAATAGAAATTGTACAAGGAAACTTACTTTTTGATGTTGGCTTTATCCTCCTGTATAAATAATTTCAACAAGTATTCCAAATGGTCTTTTAATGCTCGAAGCGTAAAGGGTTTTCCAGTATTGGTAACAACGGTTTCATGGATTACACCCCACCGTAAAATATCTTCAAACGGATTTTCTGCAGCTACTGCACGTAGTAAATCCAAATCATCAGTTGTTGTAAAGCGTAGTCTTCCGTTTTTACTACACATTTTGTTAAAAAATTCTCCATGCACGGCACAACTTCGTATAATAAATTTGTATGTATACAAACACACAACCTCAAACTATGACGTCACACAAAATACCGTATGATCTTTACGAGTCCCGGTAAATGAGTTCAAATAACGTAGTCCGCTAAATATTTAGCGTTACCGTATCTTATGCTCATGCGTAGTAGCGCAAAAATAGCGTTAGCGTTTACCGTAAAAGCCACGAAAACTCCCTATTAACGCAACACAAAAATATATGTTTGTCTGTGTGTTAAAATTTTTAACACGAATTCCATCCGACAATAACTTATTGCATTCTTCCACCAATTTAGAAAATATAACTTGATGTCCAAATTCCTTTAAATCAGAGCTATGAAATAATGAAAACAGAAAAATATTCGCTAACTGAGATTGATATTTTTGAGGTAATACTGGAACTGAACAATATATAGAAGAGATTTTATGTATGCCTGCATGTGACCCAAGAGGATTTCCACTTTCATAATCGTCGAAATATATATACAAGGGCAAAATGATATCATTATCTTGTAAATGTATACAGGGTTACCCGACATTCGTCGCAGCATACGAAAATGCCGTTAGCTGCGTGCAAATATGAATTACAATACGGCGTACACTTATATAGTAATGCAGGTTTCGACGCAGCATCGGCCGACACGTTAGAAATTCCATGGAAAAGGGAAGTGATCATGCAGGATGAGCACAACCCACATAACACAAAAATATCCTAAAAACGTTTTAAAAATATGATTGTACAAATGGTTAAATATTTTTAAAACGTTTAAGATTATTACTCAAATGTTTTCATAATATCAATCTGTTACGGCCACACTTCCTAAAGGCGTAGCGCATACCGATACGCATACGCCATCCCACGCCAATGCACCCCAACTACCTTTAGCCACAGGTGCACGCGCACCTGTACAACCCTTAACCACTGACGCCCCCGCACGCGTCACCAGGAGCGGCCGACAGATGCCGCAAAGGGAAACTCCCTCACGCAAGATCACAACACAAACCATTTAAGAGCCGTTGAGATTCCTCTCAACGGCAAGAAGAGCAACGAGCTTGCTAGGTGGGACAAGTTCTCAACCAAGCCTCGGGTCTTCAGCCTTGTATCAGCCACGGCGACGAGCAGTGCATTTTCCCGTAAGATCGCTCTCGTTCCTTAGCGTGATAAGTAGGACGGACTGCTCTCTTTCGTCGCGGTATCGTGAAACCCGTGCCCAAGGACTCACTTTTGTGTTGTTACTTTGTTAGTTAAGTGTTAGCGTGTATATATATAAATACTGTATAGTAGTGATAAATAAAGTCACTTTCTATCCGTAGTAAATAGTACTGCGACTCTTTTGCCAACCAACATCCATAACCCCCCTAACAAATCTAACATTTAGATGTCCCACTTTTAATGTTTTACAAATGTTATGGAGAAATATTTTATAAATATTATGCACCAATATTGTATAAATATATAGATTAATCTTTGTGAAATATTTATGCAACATTTATTCAAAACCACACATTAATAGAAAACCAATAATAGTATAAATCTAAAAATTAATAAATGTTATACCTATAATAAAATAATAACACTCTTCAAGCACTACTTCCTCTTTCTAAATTTGGCTTGGGCTAGCCATTGTCTTAACTCTGGTAAAATATCGCTTTCAGTAGCATTTTCCGTTTTTAAATTGCTGCGTATTGATGCTGGAAAAAATAGCACATATTTAGCGGATCAATTTGTAATATTATCGAACCTTACCTAATAATAATTCATACAGTTTCAGCGATTTAAATTTAAGTTTACCCTTTGCACCATCGAAACTGTAATTTGCAGCGAAGTCATTAGTTAGCATCAAATACAAAATATTCCTTGTAATTTCCTTGGCTGTATCACCTCCCACCAAGGAGAACTTTCTTGCCTATAACATAACAATAAAATCAAAGATGCATTTACACATTTGAAATGTACTACCACATCTTTAAATAAAGTATTATCAAGTAAAGTTTGCTCTACTATATTTAAATTTTCTGTGTTGGCCAATGGAAACAATTTCCATATCTCCAGAATTACTTGTTCATCTGTGGTGGTCTCTTTTGTTTTGTCAGTTGTAGTTGACAGGGTGTAGTGCATAAATAAGCACATTGTGCAAGCAGTACTGACCCCAATAATGTTAGTGGGTTGCACAGTTTGTAGAAGGTGCAGTCGGTAATTATTGGTCTAACAGCGACAATGTAAACACCTAGTTATAAGAAGTAATAGCAATAAATAATTAGTAATTCCTAATAAATCCAACTCCCTCACAACGAGGACATTACATGGCGACCGTGACAATGAATCAACAGTTAGTGTACTGACAAGTTAAAAATGGGAAAATCTAGCAGTAAGGAAGCGACGACAACCCAAGATCTCAACGAAAACTTCATTGTGCAAGAATCAGAAATAAGAATGTCCAGCGATATGAAGACCATGTTTTACATCATATTTGCGATTCTGGTTTTGGAGTTCGGGTTCAAAGTGGTCAAGATGTATACGCGACACGTGAAAAACAGGGCGATACGAAGAGTGGCAGCGAACGCACAAGTGTAACCATTAGCTGTTCGAAAGGACCAAAAGACGTGCTATCTGAAATAAAAGGTATAGTAATACAATTTTTTCTCTCCCCCACTTATTAATATTGTTGGCCTATTAAGTAATTATTTTAAGGTTTATGAGTAGGTATAGCTCTATGGGTATGTAATTTTGTTAAGATAATAGTTGTACATGTCCGGGTTATGGGAAGATATACAAAACAAGTTGTTACAAATTAAAACTGAGCATAACAATCAGGCCAAAAGAGCCATTAAAACTCAGGTTCCAAAGCAACAAATTGTTAGGACAGAAATTGCAGAAAATTTAATAAAATTGTTTAATGAGTTTGTACAGCTTGTAAATTCTTATTGGCTTAGATTCACCCCGGAACATAAAGCATGGATCCAAAAAGCGTTTGATCAACTTAGGGATCGAACAATACAAGCATTTGCTAAGTTAGACTTTAATTATTTAGTGCCACTGGTTCCTACTGAGAGGATAAACAAATCAGTGACACAAATTATCGACATTGACCTTGACGGAAATAACGAAACTGACGAACTACCACTGAATAACGTAACACTGGAAGACACAATGCCTCTGTCACTAACCGAATTCTTTACTCTCGCTGACAAATTGCTACCAAAATCCTTTAATGGTGACGCGCCGGAATTAGTTTCATTCGTAGATGCGTTAGAACTTTTAAAAGCAAATTCGGAAGGTCACAATGAAAATGCATTGAAATTTGTAAAAACTAGATTAACGGGAAAAGCAAGGTTGGCGGTAACAGCTGATGTTGCAGATTTAGACGGAGTAATTACAGTTTTGAAAAAACGTTGCCAATGCGAGAAATCTCATGTAGTTGAAGCAAAACTTGCAAATATAAAACAAAACGGGAAAGACGCTACGGCATTCACAAATCAGGTTAACGATCTTGCGGCAAATTTGCTTTCCATGTATATTTCCGAAGGAGTACGTGCAGATACTGCCGAAAATTTTGTTAAAAACAGAGCGCTTAAAACGTTAATAGGTAATGCAAAGTCAGATAGGACACGCGTAGTAATGGAAGCAGGTAACTTTGACAGCCTCCAAGACGCAATAACAAAATTCATAACGGTTGAAACAGATGCACCCCAGGCGTCAAATATTTTTTACGCAAACTCTTTCAGAGGAAATTTCAGGGGAACTTATAATGGGCACCGAGGATACAGTCAGCATAACAATCGTGGTGCTTATAATCGCAGGGGACGCTATATACGTAGAAATATGAACCAAAGCCAAGGTCGAGTTGATTTCAGACCTCACAACACATATCATAACAATAGGGGCCGAGGTAGAAATTTTGGAAATCGGGCTGAAAACATCAGAACATATCAATCGGAAAACTCCCAACACCCCCACCTGCAACAGGGGGGGGACAATCAATAAACTTCTCCAAATTTCAATTATCCTATTCAAATTTTGTTTTTCTAAAAATTAATGCAGTTGGCGCTACATCAAGTTTCTTAGTAGACACAGGCGCAGACATTTCGGTTATAAAAATTAGTAAAATTTCACAAAATTATCCTAAATATCCCAAAAAATGCACAATTCACGGAGTTACGGCTTCAACGATTCAATCTACATTCGCAATCACAACAAATATCTTTCTAGATGTTGATAACCGAGTAGAACACGAGGTAGAACATGAATTTCACATCGTTTCGGATGACTTTTCAATCCCAGCCGATGGAATTTTGGGCAGAGATTTTTTAACACGTTATAAATGCATAATTGATTACGACGAATGGTCGTTGTCCGTTAAATTGGAGTACCCAAACAAATCATTACGTCTACCAATGCAGGGAGGACCAGAAAAGGATTGTCTAGTTTTTCCTGCTTGGTCAGAAGTCACTCGAGAAGTTACCTTAAATTCTTCGTTTCAAAATGCTTTCATCCCAGGACAACGAGTAGCTGAAGGTGTTTATACCCAAAAAACCATAGTGTCTGGATCGAAAGTTTTAATTACATTTATTAATACTAATTTACACGAAGTTACAATTAAAAATTTAAGACTAGAAGCGGAAGATCTAAATAACTACGACATCTACACACTAAAAAATAAAAATGGGGATAGGAATAGTGAATTACTGGGTTTATTAAATTCAAATGTGCCTTCGTTTGTGGCTAAGGACTTAACAAAATTATGTCAGGAATATTCTGATATTTTTGCTCTTAAATCCGATAAATTACTGACTTGCAATAATTTTTATAAACAATCCTTGAGAACACTAGATAATCAACCGGTTTATGTAAAAAATTATAGAACTCCCCAAGCACAAAAGGCTGAGATAAATAGGCAGGTAGAAAAATTATTAGAAAGTGATGTGATTGAACCGTCCGTTAGTAGTTATAATTCACCAGTTTTACTTGTTCCAAAGAAGTCATTAAATGGTGAAAAAAGATGGCGAATGGTAGTTGATTTTAGGCAAGTAAATAAAAAATTAATAGCAGACAGATTTCCATTACCCAGAATAGAAGACATTTTAGATCAGTTGGGCAGAGCCAAATGGTTTTCTGTGCTCGACTTGATGTCAGGTTTTCATCAAATTTTACTTGAAGAAGATTCACGTGATATTACCAGTTTTACAGTAGATGCGGGAACATTTCGGTTTAAAAGGTTACCATTTGGTCTTTCAGTTAGTCCTAATAGTTTTCAACGGATGATGCATATTGCTTTTGCGTCATTATCTCCAGAAAGAGCTTTTATGTATATGGATGATTTAATAGTCATAGGATGCTCTGAAAAACATCATCTAAAAAATTTACAATCAGTATTTGAAGTTTGTAGAAAATTTTGTTTAAAACTAAATCCCGAAAAATGTCAATTTTTTCGTAAAGATGTTACATATTTGGGTCATCATATTACCGATCGCGGAATTTTACCAGACAAATCAAAATTCGACATAATTAAGAATTACCCAAGACCTCAAAACCCTGATACCACAAAACGCTTTGTTGCATTTTGCAATTATTATCGTCGATTTATTCAGAACTTTGCTTCATTGACCTATTGCTTAAATAAATTAACACGCAAAAATGCAATTTTCAATTGGACTACGGATTGCGAAAATTCATTTCAAAATTTAAAAAATGCGTTAATGCAACCACCTATTTTGCAATATCCTAGATTTGATAAACCGTTTGTAATAACCACCGACGCTGCAAAATTTGCATGTGGGGCAGTGTTGAGTCAGGTTAAGGATGGCATAGATTTGCCAATTGCATACGCTTCGCGAGCATTTACGAAAGGCGAACTTAATAAATCCACAATAGAAAAAGAATTAGCTGCAATACATTGGGCAATATTACATTTTCAACCTTACGTTTATGGTAGAAAATTTACAATAAGGTCGGATCATAAGCCTTTAGTCTATTTGTTTTCAATGAAAAATCCCAGTTCAAAACTAACCCGTATGAGATTAGATCTAGAGGAATTCGATTTTCACATAGAATACGTCAAAGGTAATGACAACGTGGTGGCCGACGCGCTATCTCGAATAGATGTAGAGCAATTAAAAGAAATACAGTCTTCTCAGACTCAAATTCTTGCTGTGCAGACAAGGTCGAGGTTGCGGAAAAATAATACTGTAGTCAGTGAAAACACGGAACAAAACGTGGAAGGAAATTTAACCGAGAATTTTCCTAAAATATACGAAGTAATAGAAAACTTTGAAGCATCGCATTTGCCAAAATTAATTTTTAAACTGGATACGCCGTATCCTAAAATGCAGATTATAATGAATAATAATAAAAAACGCGCGCGTGTTAATATTAATATTGACAGTTGTATCACTACGGAAATACTCGCTTTAGAGCAAGTTATTTCCAGGCTTGAAAAAGTAGCCGGTGAACAAGGGATAAATAAGTTACAGCTCGAGCTAAACAGTCAAATTTTTAATTATGTCCCACTGTCGAACTTTAAAATTGTGGCAAATGATACGTTACACAACTTGCAGATTGTGCTGACAAAGCCAATTCAAAAGGTATTCGATGCAACAGAAAAACAAGCTTTAATAACGCGATTTCACAGAGATCCGATTTTAGGAGGTCACTGTGGTCAGAAGCGAATGTTGTCTAAATTACGTTCTTATTTCTTTTGGAATAGTATGCGAAAAGACGTAGTTAAATTTATTAAGGCATGTCATGAATGTCAAGTTAACAAGGCAAAACCAAAAAACGTAGAGCCATTATGTATTACGCCCAGCCCTCTCAAAGCATTTGATATTGTTATCATCGACACGATAGGTCCTTTTCCAAAAACCTCCTCCGGCAATGTGTATGCAGTAACTCTTGAGTGTGAGTTGACTAAATACGTTATAATGCAGCCATGCCAAATAAAGAAGCAAAAACATTAGCGAGAACAATATTCGAAAATTTTATCCTTATTTATGGACCAACAAAAGAAATTCGTACTGATAAGGGAACTGAATACGTGAACGAGACTATGACAGAATTAAACAGACTATTTAACATCAAACACGAAACCTCTACGTCATACAGACCCCAAACAGTTGGAACCGTGGAACGAAATCATAGGGTAATAAACGAATATCTCAGAAGTTATATTCAAGATTGTAGTGTGGATTGGGATGATTGGTTGAAATATTTTACTTATTGTTATAATACAACCCCATCCACAGTTCACAATTATTGTCCATTTGAACTTGTTTTTGCCAAAAAACCAACATTACCGAACGATTTTTTGGATGCACATATAGATCCACTTTATAATATTGACTCTTACGCGAAGGAAGTCAAATATAGACTCCAAATTGCAAATAATAGAGCCAATAAATATTTGCAAAAAGGTAAATTAGTTAGAAAAATAGGTTATGATGTTAATTCAAATAGGTTAGATGTAAGGACTGGAGATTTAGTATTAGTAACGAACGAATCAAGGACTCAGTTTGATCCGGTTTATAATGGACCCTTCAGTGTAGTGTCAGTGAGTGAACCAAATTGTACATTAATAGACACTAACGGAAAACACTTCAAAGTGCATAAAAATAGGCTTCGAAAATTTTATAAGTAGTGACAGGAACAATTTAGAATAGGTAATATAGTGCGCACTAATCTAGCTATAATAATAAATATAGGAATGTAAAGTAAGATGCTTTAATCATTTTAGGTAATTAAGTGTATGATAATGGTTATTTTAGATATCTCTTAGTTCGTAATAATTTCAAGCATGTTGCTAAAATTTTTTCTTTTGCATGTGATCGATTGGGAGTCGTGGACCACCAAACAATAAACACTCAACCGCAAAATGACAATCTCCTGAGAATGCTGCAGTAGTATAACAGGCTACACCCAACTGAATCCAGGTCCTGAAATTGCGGAGAAAATAAGCAGGACACCAAACGACAGTGGAGCAAGATCTCAAAAGAATGTTACGTTATAAATAACCCGTACTTTTCTTCATATTGTTCACATTACAAGATTAATATGAGTGCTGTGCTGTAATTAGGACTGAACTTTTTTAATGGAAAGAAATAAGATAAACAATGTCATTGACTGTAAAGTTAATATGCGAGTGTTTCCAAAATGGTACTACGGTCTCTCTTTTAGTTAAGTTTTGTATAGATTTTTGTAAAATGTCTTTTCTTTTACAATTTCTTTCTCCCTTCATTTAATAGTAATCAAATCAACAAACGAAAAGACATTTTTTTTATAAAAGGGGTAGGTGTAGTGCATAAATAAGCACATTGTGCAAGCAGTACTGACCCCAATAATGTTAGTGGGTTGCACAGTTTGTAGAAGGTGCAGTCGGTAATTATTGGTCTAACAGCGACAATGTAAACACCTAGTTATAAGAAGTAATAGCAATAAATAATTAGTAATTCCTAATAAATCCAACTCCCTCACAACGAGGACATTACAAGGGTGACTATCAGCGATTCCAAATCAGCTAATTTGTTTTGAATAATAAATTGCTGGCGAAACATCCTTCGTTGAAATTCTAAATTGTGGAAATTTAGTTCCAGCCACATTTTACTGCACCTACCTTCATTTTTCAGAGTGATTTCTTCTAATTTCGTCACGATCAATGAAATATTATCCACGATTTCTAAAACCATAAATGTACAAACAAAACTAATTCATAATCGAATAATACTTGTATTGTACGAAATGTCCTCTACCATATTATTTAATATAATATTGTTCTCATTGTCATCGCACATTGCTATTACTTTAGCTACTCCTGCAATGAAATGTGTTACGATAATTAAAAAAATAAGATTTTTCCTCACCTGTTGTTTGTTTGTTGCCACCGAGGTTGCCACTTTTATAGTCTAAAAGATAACAATTAAATACCTCAATGCTGAAATAACTGACTTATTTACCAATTCTTGGAAACCTGGTCAATGTAGCATCCCCATCATCCTTGCTCGAACTAGCATCATGCTCGGTGAGGTTTTGTTTTAAATCGGCTAAAAATTAATGTTCAGGATACAATAAATAAAATTAACTTTTCCTCACCCGTGGTTTGACTTCCACTCTTTTTATGGTCTAAAAGGAAATAATTAAATACCCTAATACTTTAATCATCTATTTACGCACCTATTTTTCGAAAACTTGTTGAGATTCCAAGTTCCTCATCATCTGTGTTCAAACTTGTATATTCGGATAATTTGATGTTGGGTTTGCGCACCCTTTGCCCTTTTCCGGCATTTATTTGTTGAGAGTTGGATTCATCATTATTGGATATAACATTTCCACATCGCGCCTCTTCGCATTGAACCTGTGCATAGTGGAAATCAGCTAAAAGGAAAAGTTTAATTATGTACTATCGGGCACTAAGCTACTACCGTATTCAGCTAAAACGTTGATTTTATATATCGGCCATTCTTTAGCAGGTATTGTACGATTTTTAATTATTTCGTATAGTTTAAAACCCTCAACGTTCGGAAAATAAGTAAGTTCTTTACTCTCACTACAAACCCATATGTTCGGAATCACTTCGTAAGTGTCATCATCCAGGAAAAACACCACGCACCACATTTTTTTAACTCACAGGCTGAAAATACACAATCAAAAGAAAATAAAATCCCAGAAAATTTTTGATTTTTTAATAAAACCTTACAGTTAGTGTAATAAAGAGTATGCCACATATTCATTGTTTTTCTTTGGTAAAATCATTACTTTACTTTTTATTTCATTGATATTACATATTTTTAAATCATATACATTACTGATCGTTATACAACAAATGCCTACTAACTCAGATTCACATGGTGAATTAAATAATAGACCAACTTTTTGCAAATATTGAACAACTGCATAATTTAAATTGTCAACAGTTACAAAGTTGTGAATTTTTATTATTTTATTATCATTCAATATAGCATAGCAATCAGTTGAGTTCAATTTGAATGTGTAACCCTTGAACTTCAAAATCATGTATTGACGTGAACAACAATTGTTTAGTAAAGGACCTTTGGAATGTTCTTGCAAAAATGTTGGTTGGTTTAAATCATAGTTATTTTTAAGCATTTTGCAGGAAATTTGTTCAGACATTCTATTAACTACTTGCTGTAGGGGCTTATCATGTTTCCGTACCATTTTTTTAACCAACCGCATGTGATTTTCAAAGTCAAATGCTGAAAAATTGTGGACTGCACCAAATCGTACAACATCTTGTACTAAATGCAGAAGGTTATGTACATTGAAAGAAATGAAATCTGGCCCATAAATTCTTTCACTATCCTTCACAAAACCATTAAGAAGGTTTTGAGCATAATCTAAAAGATATTTATTTTGGCAATATTCATCATTATTTAATATACGCATTGCAACATGGAAGTGCAAAAAATGACAATAGTGATCCTGCTTAATATATTTTTTAAACATTATGGGTCCAGAGTAAAGTAGTAAGAGTCTAAATTCAACTGCTTTAAATCGCGCACAATAATGTAATGATCGACATTTCCTATTGGAAAATTCACACACTATAAATTTTTTACAGTAAATAAGATTATTTGATATTTCATTTTGTTGCTGTAAAGAAAGTTTGTGTAAATAATTTCCTGAAATCCACCCAAAACGTTTGTGTGTTAACAATCTCTTCATTATACCCAAACAGACTAAATGCATATAGTCCAAAGGTACATCTTTAATTATATCAAACTTGGGCAATTCCGTTAATAATGTAGTTCCTTGATGATGATTGTTGTCATATTGCTCTCTAAATTCAGCATCAGTTCGTAATGTTGCCTGCTCCATCCATGGAAAGCACATGACATTATTAATCCTTTTACCTCCTTGGTAACACTTAGTGCAGCCATTTTCTGCTGTGTGCCCTTTCACATTTAAAACAAAAGACTTGGCGGGTGCATCACACACAAGCATTTTAACTCTAAAGTTATAAGAATTGTTTCCAAGAAAAATACCATTAGTTATTAAGTTCGTGGAGTCCTCAATAAAATCCCTTAAAAATTCATTTGCTGAATCTGGTTTCGAATTCCCGTGGAATACACCGACCATGATAACATAATTTTTAAGATATTTGATAGAATCCATTTTTATCAAAATCGGCCAAAGTGCACTATTTGAGCTAGTTGTTAAAGGTAAACCGTCAACATTGACAATTATTTCAAAAACAGAGCCGACTGGCACTACATAGTTCACTTGATTTAAAAAGTTATTTATTGAATTTGAAATACCAAAATAATAAAAATGTCCACCACCTAATGTTCTCACAATAGTCTTCCTAGGTGTGCTCAACAAAGTTCGTGGGTCTTTTGGAAGGTTCCCAAAAGCATTTAAATTCTTTTCACTCCTAAGAATTTCCAAAAGTTTTTTTAATTTATTGTGAGCTATATTTTCTTCAACAGCCCAAAGGCTCAATTTATCCATTAAGTTTAAAGTTTCATTTGTTGACGTCTCAAATGGATCGTCATTGAAATTAAAACTTTCCACAAATTCTAAAAAATGAATACCATACAACTAGTTTACAATCAAATGGAAAATAAAACTTACCTTGATCGTCACTACTAGATTCGGAATTATCTACTTCGTACGATCCACCGTCTTCATCAAGCTCGTCATTTATAAGATTATGATCATTCCAATTTGATTGGCAGATAGCCCCACGTACAACTAACGAAGCAGTTGAAGTAGATGGATGATGAAGATTGGAAACCGACTGATTTACTTTTACCATTTCAGCTTTAACTTGCTTTTCTAAATTTCGATTTATATGCCTTTTGGATTGCTTATTTTTTGGCATGATACTACGATATGATTGTAAAAATAAATAATTCAATATAATGTTATTTTCATTTAAAAGTAGGTAAAACAAGTAGGTAGGTATTCGTTTTTGTTGATACTACACAATCTTGTAACGTGTAGCAATTTTAAATTAAAGTTTGGTTAGATTTCCAAGCGAAGCAAATTCAATGAAAAGTAAATGTGACATACTCTTACTTGAAATTACAAAGTAACGGGAGTAGAAAATGTATACTTACAAAATACACACGTAGGTACAGAATATGTTATTCGGTTAAAAGGAATAAATGGATACACAAACAAAATCACGTAAAGGTTATTGCACTAACAGTAACAGCGCCTACGTATAATTAATAAAATAATTACGCGTCGGCGTTACACGCATGCGCATATGAATGAAATTTTTAAAAGTTATGGATAAAATATTGTACTAAGATTTAGAACACAATATTTAGAACATATTGTAACCAAAATATTTAACAACATTCTAGTAACATTTTTATATATTCTGACAAGGTTTATTCACCCATGTTGTTGCAATATTTGCGTTACAACATATAAGAAATGTTTATAGGAAATTTAATTTACAAATATTTGACCAAAAATGGCCTGACAACATTTTGAAAATATAGTGTGTTATGTGGGAAGGAAACATAACGAAAGAATGAAATACATCCTTCGGTTACATTAAAGAAGAAACAGCCTTCGGTAACACAAAAAAAAAGAACAGAGCAGTCTAAGAAAAGAAATTGCGTCGCATCTGCCGTTATAGTATCTAAGTGTTCAAATAAGTCCCCGCCAGTAGGAATCGTGTAATGCAATCGGTTTTCAAATTCTGCAGTCACAGACATGAGTTGGGTATGAGTGATACCCGCAGAACATTCACGGATGGCATCTTCCAAAGCAGCAGTGTTCGGAAACGGTCCACATGCATAAATGGAATCCAGGTGACCCCAGTAGAAGAAATCGAGAGGGTTCATGCATGTTGAGCGTCAAAATTGTGACAGGAATTATCCGATGAGTAATGACAAGCAGTGACGAATCCTAGTACCATCGCTAACTCGTTGACCAATTGTTGTAATTGTAGATGTAATAGGTGAATTAAGTAAAACGAAGTGCCCACATAAACGTGTAGGGGAGAGTGGTTGAAGATGACGCACCTAACAGGAATCGCTTACTGTTTTTTTATTTATTGCACGAACAATGCCAAATCCGTTAAATAACTATATGGCAGTGTTGGTAATTATTATATACCCACATTATTTTTTTTAGTCTCATAAAAACCTGGTAGGCATAACATTCTGAAAAAATTGCATTGCGTCGTCTTTTCCTTGGGGTTTGGGTAAGTTGACGCACTTATTAAAATGCACTATGGTGATAAAGGCTAACAAATTGACTCAAATAAAAATATATTATATAAAATTAAAATAAAACAAAACAACTAAAACCTTCATTTTACAAAGTAAAAGCTAAATTCAAGTAATAATGCCATTAAACACAGTAAAAACAAAACACTCAATTTTGGCATAAGTCACATACAAAACCTTTAGGAGAGTCAACACCGCTGCACTCACTGTGTGCCCAATAACCGCAAATAGTGCACCTATACCACATTTCATTTTTTGTTCCAGTGTCTCCACAAATAATACATTGGTCGTATTCAGAAGCATTGCTAATATCGTCCAGTTCATCGTCGTCACATATTTCTTTTTCGTCGACACTTATTTCACTGTCAGAGTCAGATTCCTTGTAAACTTTTCTCACAACTTTGCCTTTCTTCTTTGTTTTCACGGTTGCATTTATTTTCCCTGCTACTGCCATGGCTTTTCGGTTTCGTTTATTTTCTTTTTCCTCCAAATTCTGTTTGAAAGGGGTGCTAGTTAAGACTTCTGAATGCTGCTTTTTACGTACATTCTTCTCAATTTTCTTGGCCTGTGCTTTGGGTACAGGTAAAAGTGTTGAAATTGGAATTTGTTCCGGTATAAAATAAAGCTCTGTTGCTGACGGTACTGGTTGTTTGCTTGTTGATGGTAGCAAAGGCACTGATTGTGTGCTTGTAGATGGTTGTGGAGATAGTTCTTGAGGTAGATGTTTAGATGATGGTGATTGATGCAATTGAATTTCCTTTAAAGGTTGTTCACTCATAAAGCTATCGGCTGGTGCAAAATCTTCTTCTGAAAATTTTTCAGAATTAAGTGGATATATTCCAGCGGCGGCAAAACCTGAAACTCCTTTTTCCACATTTGCCACTTGCTCATATGCCACTTTAAAAATTTCGGCTACATCATAAGGAGTTAATGTGTTTCCTTCTTGTGGGTTAGAAATTTTTCTCTTCAAAAATAGGTTACATTGTCTGCTGTATGCGTTTTTAAGTGGTCCAAAGAAAGTAAGGTCGAGGGGTTGCAACTTATGTGATGTATGGGGCGGAATGCTAACCATAATTATTCCATGACTCTTACAGAATTCATAAATGGGCAATGAAATGTGGCTGGAATGATTATCCAATACAAAATACAAGCAATACTGGATTATCAACAGTAGAAGATACCTTTGCTTGAAAATGTTTCAGCCACATTACAAAAACTTGTTCGTTGCTCCATCCATTTTTTGTGCACGTATAAATAGAACCAGAAGGTCCATTTTTTTGGAGATGAGGACTCATCCTCAGTCGAGGAAAAATAAATAAGGGGGGCACAAAGTTTCCTGTGGCACTGACAGCGCAGATCACGGTAATGTTTTTCCCACGTTCCCAGGAACAAATAGTACCAAACTGTTTCACACCAGTTGGTGCCAGCCTTTTACCGACTTCTTTTGGTGTTGTAGACACCCCTGTTTCGTCTACATTATATATCCGATCCGGGCCAAATTTGTTTTTTGTTAATACTTGTTCTAGATTATCAAAAAATCTATCAACCTCCAGTTTGTTAAAGGCAGACACCCTACTTACACTGGTCCCTTCCGGTTTTCTCAGAGAAATAACAGAATTCCTCTTAAGAAAACTTCTAAACCAGTCTGGCCCTGCCATCGCTGTTTCCTTATTAAAACGATGCTTGATATGATTTATTTCGGCATATTTGTAAGCCACCTGTCGTAACTCAGTGGGCGTTATTCCAAAGAATAACCTTGCGAGAGATTTTACTTGTTCGGCAATTTCCCGTTCTTGTTCTTTAGAGAAAATTGGAGCGCGCCCTAGTGTCTCAGATTTCCTGTCCTTAATTTTTCTTTTAATTCCCAAATGACGTCGCAAAGTTGCCTCATGTATTCCAAAATCTCGAGCAACTGCCCGGATTTTACGACCTTTCTCTATAGCATCAAGCGCAGAGTCAAGGGAAGCTTGGCTGAAGTTCCTCCTTTCCGTTTTTCTCTGGTACTTTCCCATCTAGGACGAAAGCAATTGTTGTAAGTTCGGTAAAAAGAATTGCTGGCAAAGATAACGCAACGGTCCACTGTGCGTCATCTTTACCAATATGAAACGCGTCATCTTTGCCAATGCGTAGCCATGACAAAAAAAATTATTTAGCAAATTCTTCTAATGTTTATGAGTGCCGCAACTACTTAAATTAACAAACATAACATGCAATTCAAGTACATAGGGTGAATCGCCCAGTTCTCGGCCACTTAACTGAATTTTCACCTTAAACCGACGTTTAAAAATTGCAGAATGATTGAAATCCAATTTTGATTATTTTATTGGATAGCACGTAGTTTACTTAATTAAATTTAATCATTCAAAAATGTCAAATCTATTTAAGTTTTTTTTTGTTAATAAAATCCTAAAAAATGTCCTTATTGCCAGTTCTCGGTCACTTGATTATTTTCTCGGCCAAGACTATGCCAGTTCTCGGCATGGGTGGCCGATAAATCCCATTTTTCGGCCGTGTTGTTTAAGCATTAAAATAAAAGGAGAAATGAATGGAAAATGGGTGCCTAGGTACAGATAATCAAAAAAATTAATTTTATTGCAGTCAGTAGTAGATTCTAATCAAAATATTTAAGTAGATAAATAAAACAAAAATATTCCAAGTTGCCTATTTTAATATAAGTAACTAATAAAAAAACCTTAAAAATAAACATAAATAGATATCCTTAAAAAGAGGAGTAAATAATTTGTACTCATTAAAACTTATTTGCAGGAACTACACAAGAAATCTCTAGTTGAAGCTTCATTGTATGATAAATTAGATAACTCAGTACAAGCTAAATGAAACCACTTAGGGCATGCTACGGGGGTTCCTTCTGGACTTGAAAATTACCATCGGTTCCGCCCGGCAAGGCAAACCGTCTTCTTCTTAGGCTGGTTAATCGATAAAAATAAATGCTCCGGCTAACTCAAATCGGTGGGCTTTTAACTCTTTTGAAACTGCGTAACAAACCTTAACCTGCCGCCTACCAGTCTCCTGCCTCAACTCCTACTCCTCCCTTTCCTTCCTCTCGTTCTTCTTTAAAGACAGGCACATTGAAACCAAATAGATAATATATTGAAATGAGATTAGCGATACAATCAATTTACAGGGATCTAGCAGTTCTTCTCTTCTCCTTGTAAAAACACTAGCTTAACAATGACAACTACTAACTAAAAAATCCTAACAGGTGAAACTAATTTACTCAAGGGGTGGCCATCCTCTACAGTTTGAAAATTGCAACAACAGGTAATCGGTTTTTAATCCAGCGTGGGCTGGGACTTATTTAAATAAACACAAAAATTTATCCTACTCTTTGGTAATCGTTCATTGGACTTTAATAAACAATCAAATCAAAAAATTTTTTTACTATAGCTTAATTACCAAAAAGTGGAATTTTACAGAATGTTACAAATTTAATTAGACTAACCTTTACAACATTTGTACAGCCGATCTTGTGAACT